ATTAAATGATGATTATTATGATTGATTAATTAATTGATTATATAGATGATACATGTAGTTGAGACAATTACAATACTATTTATACATGTTAAAGGTTCTATCATCTAGTTCTCCGATTTCTTTGAAATCTTAATTAAATGTATTACTTGGACCTTCTGTGTGTGCAGTATGTATTTGTGTTTTAGATAAGCATCGCGATGGTATAAAACAGATGATAAATTTATCAGAGAAAAAATAGATGGAATATTAGTAAGATTTGTTCTTCATCAATGCAATCTTATTAAAGGCTACTTTAGATTAATTTCTAATTATCTCATATTTTATAAATTAAATTTACAGTATCCCGATGAAATTGATTCTAATATTGGATAGGAACCACAAAGTTCAAGTATAATGAATAATTGAATAATTCATAATTGTACTATATTAATAATTAATTAGTGATACTATTTATTGATAATAAAGTACATCTTTGATAAAATACAATTCTAACATGTATATATTTGTTAAATAATGATGTGATTCTTTGCATACAAGTAAATTTTTTTAATTTTAATATATACATTATACATATTTTTTTTTCATTTTTATTACGTATATGTAAACTTTATTATTACTAAGGGTATGTAAAATAGATGAGAAAATATTACGTCAAATTAATGATAATTTACCCTTAAAAAATTTGCTTATAATGAATACAATTACAACCCTTTTCTTCACACTCATTACATGAAGGCTCTTTAATGATGCATCCCTTGTAAGGACCTTTTGTAGAAGTTATTCCATTCTCATTTTGTGTATCCATGGCAATCGCTCACTGATTATTGTTTGATGTTTATCTTCTTGTTTGTTTTTTAATTAGATAATTTGAAGTTTAATTAATTAGTCATTGGTCATTATTTGAAAGTTTATTTTTAATTAATAAAAAGCATTAATTATTACGGGAATTTATGATAGATTTTTTAAAATATTAATACTAAATCTAATGGTGAGTTATTTCTTCTAGGTAGGGAGGGTTTCTATTTTTATATCAAGTCGGGTTGCCTGGCAATCGCTCACTGATTATTGTTTGATGTTTATCTTCTTGTTTGTTTTTTAATTAGATAATTTGAAGTTTAATTAATTAGTCATTGGTCATTATTTGAAAGTTTATTTTTAATTAATAAAAAGCATTAATTATTACGGGAATTTATGATAGATTTTTTAAAATATTAATACTAAATCTAATGGTGAGTTATTTCTTCTAGGTAGGGAGGGTTTCTATTTTTATATCAAGTCGGGTTGCCCAAAAGGAATGTGTGTTTGCCTTTTTTAACTTCATTAAATATTCCATATTAATATAAATATATATCATAAATGAAAAGTCATTTTTTAGCAGAAAATAAATTTATTACAAAAAATGAAAAATATTGATATGAAAAGTTATTTTTTAAGTGTGGGAAAATAAATTTATTACAATAAATGAAGTCATTTTTTAGCAAAAATTTTCTGAATATGAAAAAAATCAATAAATGAAAATTCATTTTTTAGATGTGGAAAAAGAAAATTATTTTGAGAAAAAATTTCCTTCCATGTTTAGTATCAGTAAATGAAAATTGATTATAGAATAATCTACATAATTGGTTCCAATTCATTCTGTTGTTAAACATCTTCCCAAGACTTCAAAGAGAGCTAAGCTTTGTTAGAAACATTACTCTTTCTTGTAACTTTATACAAAAATTCTTATATGGGACATACTACAACAAAACCAGACGAAGTGAACGCTACATATATATAAAAGTGTAATGAATTGATGCATCAAAAATGTATCAACATTTGATGACACTCACAATCCCGCCTTGTGTTTGAACATCACCAATTCACGCATTTTCAAGTAAAAAAAAATCAAACTACAAATCCTTAAATAATCATTTTTAAACACCATTATATTTTATTTTACAAAAATCATACAATAAAGATATTTGTAATATTTTCATAAAACAATTCAATAAAAAATGCATACTTTTAACAGTGAACTTTTTTGTGGGTTGTTAATTGAGATCTTTCTTGGTCTCTTGTTTCATATAAAATTTACAAAAACTAATTCTATGATATGAATCAAAAATTCGATGAAATAATCAATAAATATAGCCCTCCAAAAAACATAAACTAAGCATGCTAATTGGTGAACAAAAATACCTGATTTTTCCTTTAGCTATGAGAATAACCGTAGTTTAAATATTTGTGTCTTGAAGTATCCGTAATTTTCAATAATTAAATGTAGTATATTAAATTGTTTCCCAAATTGTCTAGGTGCAATTTTTCTATCTTCAGCTTCCACCTTTGGCACTTATAATCCAACATTGAATGACACGATATTACTGAGTAAAAATTAAATTTTAATACGTGACTCGAATTTGCCTATCATCGTTAAATATTTTGGTTAAGGATACCGGCTGTAACTTCTGATGATGGTTGCTACCATCTTTGCGTCATATAAAAATGATTGCAAAACCGTCTTTACGACCATTTTGTTTCCTTTTTTTGGATTGCGACATGAAGCTCTACTGCCTTTTTAAAAAAAGCTCTATTAGTTGATAAAATAGGTCTTTACTTTTTAATATAGTAGAGAATTTTTCTCAAAAAAATCATTAGTCGTATTCTTTTTTAAAACATGTACTTTACTATTGCTATTGCTATGCTCGTGAGGAATTTTGAGAGCTAGGATCATCGATCATCACTATTAAATTTAGACAGGAAGGAAAATAATTTTTTAACCAAATCACGTGAAGACCTTTTTTTGAAAAGTTATTGCATTTTTGAACAAATCACTAAATCGCAATTTTTGAACTTTGAGCGCGTGGCACAGCAATAGAAGGTCTTTAGACCGAACCAACCATATAATTGAAATTTTTCTACAATTGAAAAATAAAAAACTAATTGATAAAAAATTGAATTCAGTTTCAATTTATGAT